GGGGGTACCCATCCTTTCCTCCCCGAGGTCGATGGTGCAAGAATTTACCCTCCTACCTCTTCCCAAGATATTTTATTGTTCAACTTTTCTTAAAAACAGAACAAGATAAGGAAGAATTAGAAAAAATCATAGATCATATATAAATTACATTTGCTGCCTGTTTTATGTTTTTTCCTTGTCCCTTAGTCCGAAAATGTATAATTCCATCGAAATTTGCTTCCCTCAACAATTTTTATGGCGCAACTTGAGCCATAAAACCCCCTTCTGGGCAACCCTGACCTACATATAGATATATAGACTGCACAGAGGTGCCCATTCTCCCAGGGTCTATGCCGCACGACCCCGCGTCCCCTCCTTCTAAGATATTTTATTTCTCTCGTCTTCTTAAAACCAGTGCATGCTAAAGTAAAACTTATAAATCATAGGTCAAGTACAATTACACTTTCACTGTTCTGTACTATGCTTTCCTCTTTTCCCCTGTTTTGAAACTTTTTATTTCGAAAATTCGTAAACTCGTCGATATGTGCCTCCCTCCCCCTCACAAATTCCAAACCCCGTCAAATTTTGCCCTCTGCAAAAATTTTGATGGCTTAACATGCGCCATGAAACCCTCTTGCGGGTACCCCATCCACTACATCATGGACGGTGTTGGCTTCAGTATTTGTCACTTGTATAGGAAGTACTGTTTTTTTAATAAAATATTGGTCAAGAAGGTGATGTGACTGAGATCACGCTCAACTACTTGTTGTTTTTTCATAATTAATTATTTAATTCAGTAGAATTTGGATGGGCCCCATGAGGGTTTGCTGGTCGCAGTGTCCTCGGCTGATGTAACAGAATAAATAATTATCTGCTACTGCCAGACTAAAAACTCGTCTCTTGAACATAGAAGCACAGTGTCTTATTCACTGTGCTACTCCGTTCACATATATAATATTTGGGGAGTATTTTAATCGAGAGTATTGCATCAATGCTGCAAGTCTAATCGATAAAAGAGCTGACTCGTAAGTTTTCGCTAGAAAAAGTTGCTGAACTATCCGTTTGTTATTGTTTTGTAACAACTAAGAACTGATATTCTTCTAGTGACTAAGTGAGAACAGCGTATAAAGAAAAAGAAAAAAAAACGATAAAAATTACTTTTTGTATAGTTATTGTTGGAATATTCTAAAACAAAGCATCAAGTATCTGAAATAGCTGTAAATGAGTAACCAGGACTGAAAATTATCAATGAAAGATCAATTGATGTAGATCAGATCTCACTTAACAGTCTATAGAAGGCTAATCAAATGTAACAGTCCAATATATGCATAAGTATTTAAATTACAGATATATCAATTTATATCCAAGTATTTCTGCATTTATCTATCTGGTATTTTATGATCATCAGTCTTAATAATAACTGGCGAAATTTTTCTTGTAATTTTGGCTTCCTTACTACCGAAAGTAAGGAAGCATTGTATTCGTGCGAGAGGGTAAAAAAAAAATATGTGCTCAGAATCAAAAATTTCCACTCGCGTTTTACGTTTCAGATATCAAGGATCAAATTTGGATCACTGTCTGCCTGTCTATCTGTCTGTAGTCAAATCGATGTGACGGACATATCACCTAGTATGGTACATCCGTTTTTCATGGAATTTTCAGGTATTGTGCGGGTTGTTGTCTAGATGGTCCTATAACAATTTTATCAAATGTTATCCAGCACTTCCGCTTACGCACGTGCAAACGTATTTGTTTTTATATAATATTATTTCAGAAACAGCTTGTTCGATTTGGCTCAAAGTTGGATAAAAAATAGGTTTTGGTGAGAAAATAACGTAGTGTCAATTTTATCGAATTCTTTCCTCTACTTTCTCTTATATATGGAGCAAACGTGTTTTCCTTGATACGTCTATACCTCTAAAACCGCCCTTTCGATTTGGCTCAAATTTCGAGGAAAGTTAGGGATTGGTAAACAGATAATCAAGTATGTATGAATTTTATCAAATTCCGCCCACTACTCAAAAAAAAAAATACTTCTGCTTTTAGATCATGGAATGAATTATTTGACATGCCTATAGTTTGAAAACTGTGCGTTCGATTTGACCCAAACTTGGAGGAAATTTGTAGAATAGTATAGAAATTACCTAGTATCAATTTCATTGAATTCCATTTGATAATTAAAATTGATATAAATAATTGTGAACAATATAATGGCTGTGAAACGTGGAAGGTATTGATCATCTGGATTGGAAGTTACGTTAACACAATATTTTTATGGGGTTATAAAATTTTATGCTTTATTCAAAAAGTTAATTTATACTGAATTGTTTGGTCGATTCCAAACGTGACACTTACTGCCGTTATTTAGACTTCGTGTAATTTTCAGTAAATTTAAATTAATTTTGACTCTGAGTTTATATGAAAAAAAATCTTATTTGTGATTGTGTTTATTACGTGACATTTTATAGTCTGCAACTGATATAAGTAGTCTGCTACGATGGAAAATAGCAGAGAGCAATACAATATGAAATTATACTAATAAAACATAGAGAAATAATTAGTTCTTATGCACTCCTGTAAAACATTCAATTTTTACATACGATCTTTTGCACTAACAATAGTGATATTAATAGTCAGTATGCACTTGATTTTTTTTTTTAAATCATAAATCATCAAATATGCAATCTGCAAATTCAGAACTCTTTCACACTTTAGCATTCAATGATCAACTATCAACTATCAAACCCGTATAAATTGAGAGATTACTGAATTTCCGAAAACGGCTTCTCCCAGAGATTTTATTCTCATACGAAAAATGTTAGACCTTGTAATATAGATATTTTTTAGTTAATGAAAACGGTGAGAAAGCTATACTGACCTTACTTGGCAGACTTTTTTTTTTATAACTTAAAAAAATAGTCTGCCAACTTTTTTTTCGTGTTATTGAATCAAAATGATTAGTCTTGTGAACAAAATACAATCGCACATTCTGTTGATGACGGAACATCACTACCGAATTAAATACTGAACTTAAGACGGTTTCTATGTCATTTTTCCTGTTAGATATAGAGATAAGAAGAAGGAAAACATCTAAGAATATGTTAAAATCAGACTCCGTAAAGTAAAATCTCGACTTTTAATTGGTTTGAGGGAAAAATCTGTCATTAAATCATAATATCTCCAAAAGTGTACAAGAAACAGTAATTCCTCCACCAGATATTTAAACCATGCAAGACCGTTCATAAATAATGCCAAGATAGATATAATCTTGGATAGTTAATAACATTGTTTCTTAATTGATACTTATGAAATCCCTCGAAATAAAAAGAATTATCCAAAACTGCTTATGAAAGTAGTTCCTGAAAATAGTACATATTTTGTATTAAAAATAAGTACTTACCTACGTGTGAAATATATTAGTTGAACGGAAGTACACGTTTTGAGCTCCCGTTTAAAGTACTTGGTTAAATGCAAGTATGAAAAAATTGTCTGCGTTTGTTTTGTTTTTTTAACAACCGTAATGAAAGTCGTAGGGAATTACGTATCAACATAGGTTTACGCCTGGGATGTTACTACTTTTTCGTCAAATTCGAATCAACAATTTCCTAAAAAACAGCTATAATGATTTTGATTGAAGGGATCCTATAGATGTAAATTCAAATTGTCTTCAACAGTCCCATAGGTCTTATACGCCATATTTTAGTACGTTTAATATTATTTATTATAAATAATCAACAGTGTTAGGTTATCTCTTTGGCCTATGTTAAGTCATATCTCTTTGGTTAGTAACAATCATAGAGTCCTTTGATATACACACACAGGTGCTTGAAGATGACGCTATCGTTGATATGTGTTGTTTTATGTTAATAAAGTGAACAGTTGTGAGTTAGAAATAATTAAACAAACAGTATTCCATGCTTAGTATTATTATTAAATGGCACTACATCCCAATTATTCGAGATTTGGCCTGCTCCAGCATGGATCTCCAGTTCTCCCGGTTAGTTGCTGCAGCCTTCCAATTTTCTTAGTAGTAATAAGAAATAGCAAAATGTAAAGTATGAAATAACTGAGATTTGGCAAAATTGAAAGATTCTGTATTTAATAATAGAAGGAGAAAGGAATTTTTGGAAACATTTTTTCCATAGTGAAAACAAATTTCTATAAGAGAGACGAATAATAATTTATAGAAACTAATATTTACCGGAAACCGAATGTATCATGGAAACTAAATTGAAACTTTTACAACAAATTTTAAGCTAGTCAACTAAAAATATATAATGCATCGAACTGTTTTGCTGGAATTGATTATAAACTGTTTTATCGTACTTTCGCTAGAGAAGTGAATGCCGCTTAAAAATCTTTCAATCACTGATTACGAATTGATAACACACACGGTAGTAACTTTAGACACGATAACAGATTTAAATATTAACTAAGCAGCTCTACTTTAGCAGAAATTTAATTATTAAATTTGATTAATGAGTGAAGTTTGTGTGATGCACGCCAGTTAATTTTTATATATATATATATATATATATATATATATTCGAGTATATATGTGTGTATGTTTATGTGTATATGTGTATGTATGTGTATATATATATATATATATATATATATATATATATATATATATATATATATATATATATATATATATAGAGAGAGAGAGAGAGAGAGAGAGAGAGAGAGAGAGTAAGTGAGAGCGAGAGGAAGATAATTAACTTCATATATTTTGTTTATAAAACGGTTGAACACACTTTTAAAAAGTTAAAAATAGGTCTGCAAATTAAATCTAGCATCTAATATTTAAAAATTACTATTGATTCCTTATTTGTTAATTCTTTTCGGTTCTAAAGATGATCAACAAATAAGGAATTACTGGATTAGGTCAAATCTTAATTTTTGTTTTTAAATTAAACTATAAAATAAACAATGCACATAATCACGTATATATAACTTGTGATAAATCATAACTAAATAAGTAATATAATAAAAATAAATAAATTAATCCAACTCACCAGACCTCCTCCGACTATTAATACCTTCATCCTGCGAGACCTACAAAACACTGAGACCTGCTAGATGTATTATATAACCATGTTGAACGAACTGGTTGGTATCTCCGCTACATAACTGCAAATAGGACGTTTTTGCCCTTAAAATACATCTTATGTCGCTTCGTATGTAACATCGATGGAATGAATTGTTATTAGAACTGTTAGCAAGAATTCGTATGTAATCAACAATTTTTTCCTAGAGATAGATCTTAAGGAAAACGCGTTTCCAAAGAATGAAAAAGTAATAAGAGATCTTAGAAATATACTTGTAATGAAGATTTACAGTGGATGAGATTCCAGTCCAATATAAATTTATAAATGCGGCTATAAACTATCATCACAAAAAACTTTAAGTGGGTGCAATTTACGATATTAAGAAAATACTCGGGATCCGTGAACTTCGAATCAAAACAAAACATATTTCGCTATGTAATCCAACATTAAAGTAACATTTGTAAATATGTGAACTGCTCTAATTTATAAGTATTATATAACCATTGTTATGTAATTGGTGTTGATATTGGGCTACTTTGAAACTTAACAGCTTTAAAAGAAGTTTCAACTTAGAAGGGGAGGTCACAGTCAGTCGGTCACCGATTCCAAACAAATTTTTATTTTGTAATACTACTTCGAAAATATAGAAAATATTAGGCACATGTTCCGACGTTCGTTCCAATGGCCCTCATTAAGAGCAGAGCAAAAAAAAAAATGATTTTATGTAATTTAAAAAATACATTATATTTTATTAATATATCAATCGATTCATTTATATATATATATATAATATATATATATATATATATATATATATATATATATTATATATATATAAACAAGAAAAAAATATTGCCTATAATATTAAATAAATTATGATGTATCATAATTACAAAAATCAATTGACACTTACAGTAAAGCAGGTCGAGTAAATTTTGTTATGAAACAATAAGTTATATTCGTTTCTAGTGTCCTTTAAAACAGTTTTATGCGATTTTTTATATTAATTAATAATTGCTAATTTTAGTGCTAGATTTTCTTTGTGATTTTTTTTTTCTACCGTCCGCTATCTTGAGCATTGAGAACTTTCTTAAATTTAAAAAGTAGTTCAACGTTAGTACAATCATTGGGAAGCTGAATTATTGCTCTTCCAAACACTAGCGGATCCAGGATTTAATTTTGGGGGGGCTTCACCCCGGAAGATTTTTTTTCATATACGTATAACAATAATTAATTAGAAACAAAAGAAAGAAAGAAATGAACTTCCTATATGAAATAGTGTTTAAATGGTTCTTGAAGTCTTATTAAATGTAATTACACTAACAAGAATACTTTAAGAGATAGTTTGTAATATTTTTTTCTGCAAAACATGGTTATAGTTTATCATTTTGGGGGAGGCTTCAGCCCGAAAGCCCCCAGCCCCCGTAGATCCGCCTGTGCTTCCAAACGAGCCTGAAAGGGCGCCAGTTTGGGGACGGCGATCTTTAAGGGCGCTTGTCACTTGCTAGAAATTAAAAACAATAATTAATTTCAGCCTATGAATAAAGCAACTGTGTGAGAGAAATATTGAATGAAATATAATTTAAATATTACATACTATAAAACAGCTTAAGGGGTAAATGTTTTTAGGGGAGGGGGGAGGAGGGTAAGGTCATTGCCCGGGGACGCCGAATGTCTACGGCCGTTACAAGTGTTGCCCAAATGCGAGACCGAGACGGGTCTTGGTCTTGCAAACTCAGTCTTGATCATGGCCTTGGTCTTGCGCAAGAGTCTTGCAGTTACTTATTAACTTATTACTATAGAGATAATTTTTTAGATAGGAGAAACCTAACTAAACCCGAATGAAAAATTAGAGGAGTTAAATGTAAAAGTATATTGTTTATACTAATTACTAACATATAGTAACTAAGATTGTCAATTTTTAGTAACTGTTTTGCCTTGATTTTTATTTTTAAAATAGATTTTTGTTACCAGTCCTCGTCTTGGTCTTGCAACAGTTAGGTGGCCTTGGTCGGCTTTGCAGTTGCAAAGTGCAAGACCAAGACCGATTTTGGACAACACTATCCGTTACTCCTTCAACCCATACCAATGACTTTTAGCTTTCCTTCTTCTTTTATTTTATTTATTTATTGAATATTACAAGATTCTGTCATTTGGACATTGGTTGTAGTGAGATAATAATATCTCATTCACTCTATAAATACAAAAAAATATAAAATAAACAGAAGTGAAATAACAAATAAATAATAATAAAAAAGTATATACAATGAATGACATAAAAATAAGGGGAAAAATACATACATATCTACAGTGCCGGCCTTAGGCAATCGGCGCCTCACCTCGGGCAATGACGTCATCTCCCTCTCACTCAAAAATTAAATTTATTTATTAAACTGTTTTATATAATACAATATTTGAATTTTATTGCATTCAACATTTCTCTAATACAATTATTTTATTATTATTATTATTTTTTTTTATTTATTACAATTGGCGAGCGCCGTCTGAAGATCTGGAAATAACGAAAATCTTCTCAAGCATTTAATATTACATCTTTGGTTCTTATTTGTTCACGAACGTGAGTTTTGTTCCATTTCATAAAGATATAGAGCCTTAAATCCTTGATAATTTTCGCGTGGGGCTGTGGAGTTGTTGCATTTACCTCAATGTATTGAATTTATCAAAATTACAAATGATGTATGTTATTTAATATTTTATTTTTTTTATGTTCTCTAGATCCAATGAAATATTTAGACTCTAAATTTAAGAGTGTATAGCGTTATAATTTTGTTGTCTAAGTACCTTATGTCAAATCAAAATCATGTTGAAATTTTCGGATCCCACAACATTTAAAAAATCAAGTTTAAATTAGCATTGTAATTAAGTTCTATTTTCATTTGTAATCATATAATCATTGTTTCTGAATTTCTGATTTCTGATCTGCCCATTTCTGCTTCAATCCATATGGTTTCGTAAATCTATTGATTCCGTTTATATAACTTATCTGAGAAACCATGTCCACGTTCTTATAAAATATTGAAGAAACATGTTAGAACTAAGTACTTTTTTACTAATCTAAATGTTTTAAATCACGATTTGAAGTCCGTTCATTTTTGTAAATGTCAGAAATATTTTCGGCCTTATTATTTAAAAGTAAAAAAATTATATTTTTAAAGGGCAACAAGATAAACTCTGTGTCTCGCGGATTGCTGCTCATCCCTCTCGTAACTGATATCGGAATTTATATTACTTTGTTATTATTTATTTTTATATGTAATTGCCACATTTTTAAGGTCATTTAAAAAGTAGTTATGAAATTAAATTTAAATTGTTAATAATAATAATAATAAACATAAGAGTGCTACCAATGGGTAGTTTTTCAACATGTGTTTCATGCATTATATCCATGTGCGAATTTATTAGATGTTTTATTTTTTGTACACAGTTGTAAATATCATACAAATAAATAAATAAGAATTATAAATTAATTATATCGAATATTTAATAGTTGACCGTTGCATTATAAAGGAAGGAGATGGTCCGGGGTTGCGGTCATAAATGGCTAAATAGTGGTAAAACTATTTTATTGAAAGCCAACGTTTCGACCCGACTTTGCAGGTCTTCATCAGGGAGGTGTGTTCATCTAGGAGTTTCACTTAGAACCAGAGATTCTGTTAATGACCTTAAAAATGTGGCAATTACATATAAAAATAAATAATAACAAAGTAATATAAATTCCGATATCAGTTACGAGAGGGATGAGCAACAATTCGCGGAACCACACAGTTTATCTCGTTGCCCTTTAAAAATATCAATTTTTTACTTTTAAATAATAAGGCCGAAAATATTTCTGACATTTACAAAAATGAATAAACGGATTTCTGATGGTAATTTCACACTTTCCATATGAATACACCAAGTCCGTTGCTATCAAATTATTAAGAACCGCTTGAAACTTCGTGAATAGCTTCATTTCATCGTAACCTACAATTATTTTACTAACGAAAATTCTGGAAATTGGGTTCTATCAATAATAATTCCATATGTAAAATTAAAGCCGACAAAATTAATAATAGAAATGAACACACCTCCCTGATGAAGACCTGCAAAGTCGGGTCGAAACGTTGGCTTTCAATAACATAGTTTTACCACTATTTAGCCTATTTATGACCGCAACCCCGGACCATCTCCTTCCTTTATAAATTAATTACTATTTCTTTTTTCATTCTTTATATATTATTTCTGAAAGTTGTTTTTTGATCGGTGTGTCACATTTTCGTTAAATCATCATCAAGTCCAGTGGTTGACCCCTAATTTTTCGACTTACCGTAATTTTTGAAGTTAGTGAAATACGATGAAGGGTATCACGGAAACTACAAAATATATCTACAAAACCAATATCACCACTTCTATTGCTAATTTTTTTCAGTTTTTACATATGGTCTTTTTATTGATTCATCAGCTTTAATTTTACATATGGAATTATTATTGATAGAATCCAATTTCCAGAAATCTCGTTAGTAAAATAATTGTAGGTTGCGATGAAATGAAGCTATTCACGAAGTTTCAGGCGGTTCTTAATAATTTCATATCCACGGATTTGGTGTATTGATAAGGAAAGGGTAAAATTACAATCAGAATTGAATATATTCACCCGCGTTTTACGGTTTGAACATCAAGAAAGAATTAATTTGTTATGAAATTGTTTCCATTCAGTCGGAAAGTTAGCGAAGAGGGGGAAGACTTTCGGGCTAAAGCCCCTTCTAAAATAGAAAATAATGTTTTTTTTTTCAATTGGTCCATATTTGCTTCTTTCAGTGATTTGAGCTAAATGAATACACAATCACAGTATGTAATGTTTGTTTTAATTATAACGAATATACAGCAACTAAAAGTAAACACAATTTTTTTAAAGACCTCCATTATTACTAACACATCATTTTATATTGTTCATTTTTTTTACCAAGAGTAATTACCGTTATATATATATATATAATATATATATATATATATATATATATATATATATATATAAAATAAGATTTCT